TCGGCAATAGCCCGAGTGTGGGGACACCGAAAGACAAGTCAAGTCTGCTTAGCTGGGGATCTATCAAGCGCATGGGCAAGAAGGACAAGACTCCAAGCTTGCATGAGAGTGTTACCAGCGAGGCCACTGGTGATGACGAAGAAGATCTTGTAGATGGAGTGAAGGCGTAGTTGAAGCAAGCTGTGGCGCTCTGGTCAGGCATTGGAAATCATGGCGTTCATAAAAATCACCTCTTCTCATAGTTTCACCTGTCTGTGCTTGTGATGTGCGACTTGCCTTCACCCCGGATTTCAGCCTTGCCAGGTAGCAGCGCCAAGACCGGACCTCCGCCGCACCAACCCTTTCACAAGCTCCAGGAACACCTTCACTCTCGACACACACTTTCCCAGCCTCTCGCCATGGCTTCTCCCGCCGCAGAAAACATGCCAAATGGCATTTCCACCCCTCCAGCAACGGCAAATGCGAATGCGACTCCACCCACGCAATCGTCGACTCAACCCAATACCCAGTCGCAACCACTCAACGGCACAAGCACGGCACAGAGCATGAGCGCATCTTTCCCCGCAACCTCGCTCCAGGATAATGGAGCCAGCAAAAGGCCCCGTGACGCACGCCTCATCCACCTGATCCTCGCCAACATGGGCGTGCACGCCTACACGGAACGCGTGCCGCTGCAACTGCTCGACTTCGCCTACCGATACACGTCCGGCGTGCTCACCGACGCAATCTCGTACGAGCCGCCCGCACACGCCTCGTCGACGACCAAAAAGCGCGGCGCCGACAAAGGCGAAGACGACAGCGGCGTGTCGCTCAACGCGCTGCGCACGGCGGTCGGCGCGCGCGCCGCAAACGCCTTCTCGGGCCAGCTCAACAAGGAGTTCATGGCGGACCTGGCGAGCGAGCGCAACCGCATTGCGCTGCCCCGTGTCGAGCGCGAGTTTGGCATGAGGCTCCCGCCTGAGCGGTACTGCTTTACGGGCGCGGGGTGGAGCCTCAAGGGCGAGTGGGAGGACGATGGGGAGGTCGAGGACGAGGAGATGGATTTGGGCGAGAATAATGTGGGGTTTGGGGGCCCGGTTGGTGGGGCGAATGGGGATGTTGGCGCGGATGATACGGCCATGGGTGGCATGGAGGAGGAGGATCAGGATGAGGATGAGTTTGAGGAGGCCATGGGTCTCAGGGCTGATTAAGACACGGAAATCTCGGAAACAGCAAGGGAAGGAGGTCTGCGTGAGAGACGCAGTGGCTGCGAGACCTGGGCAGTATACCCGAAAAGGCGTTTGTATTGGTTGAAGCATTTTACGGCGTTTTGCAGGTCAAAGACCGAGCTTCTTGTAGGAGTAGGGTTATACCAGAGCTGAATTTTTTTGTATTGCGGTACTGGGCCGCTGTCTCCAAGAGAAAGCCGTCATTCTCAGAGCAATATAATATACAGAAACCGTCATCTTTCTCTCGGCCAGCATGCATACTAATACAACCACCCTCCCTCCAGCCATGACAGAACCGTAATGCCGACCAGAACGACAAAGAGAAAACGCCATGTAAATGCAACATATCTCCCCGCCCCCATCCCCTCGTCCCCTCATCCCCAAACAATTCCTACGTCCCCCTATAAATCCCCCCCCTCGTAACCCCCCTCTCATCAACCCTATTCTCCTCCTTCCTCCTCAGTCTCTCCAGCCCCTCGTCCTCCGCCCTCTTCCCCACCAGCCGCCCCGAATCGTCCAAATTCCACCACTCCTTGTGCTTACTGCGCGCGTCCTCGAGCCGCTGCGCGTGCTCCTCGCGCTGCCGCTTGCGCTCCTCGGCCAGCGTAAACCACTCTGCCCGCGCGGCGTCGAGCTCGGCTTGGTTTTGGTACTGCAGCATGCAGGCGTTCATTGCGAGGCGGGGTGGCCGGCAGGCGTAGATCATGGTTAGGGTGCGGCCGAGGGCGCATTGGGCGAATGCTGGGGTGGGGGAGTTAGCGTGGGCTCGTTCTATCTCTGTCTCTATGTCTGTGGTGTGTGGGGGAGGGTATGGTATGGTATGGTATTGGGGTGGTGCTTGATAGGATGGAGACACGAGCGAGAGGGAGACAAACCTTCAATCTCCTTTGCGCATTTCGCACGGACGCTCTTGTAATACAAGTCTCGAACTTGCTGCTCTTGCGGCGCGGATAACGGCGTAGGATTGCTGGGCCGCTGGTTCGTCCCGACGATCATGCGGTCGCTCATGGCGACTGTGGTTTGTCCTCCAGGGTTGAGCAGCGCTCACTTGGAATTGCAGACCAGGATGGGAATCTGGCGCGAAGCTATATCGAGCTTCTAGAACGACAGTGGCGTGCGTGGACGATTGGAAGGCGGGCTGCGTTGTGGGTTCTGTTGTTGCGCTGAGCGGTGGTGGTTCGAGATTGAATTGAATTGATATTCTTCGGAGCAGGGATCGGACGGCATTGGATTGGGAGCGGGCATGTCGGGGATTTTGAGAGATGGCCGCCGATATCCACGAGCCGAGGCTTGAAGCGGGCATTCTCCATCCGGTCCAGTTCTCACATGCCGACTTTCTTCTTGACTTCTTCTTCCTCAGATTCGGTTCACAACAGAGTCACAGATTTAGAATCTCGAGGAATCTCGTTCGAATACGATCATTTTATTTACGCCCTTACTATCTGGAACAGCCACCTCTCCATCAAATCCTAGCATCCAACCTAGTAGAAACAATGAAGATTGAGAACCGCACGTTCATCATCTCCGGCGGAGTCTCAGGTCTCGGCCTCGCCACTGCCCGCGCTCTCCATTCTCAAGGCGCATACGTTTCTCTCTTGGATCTGAATGCCGACAATGGCTCAAAAGTCGTGAGCGAACTTGGATCCCGTTCCAAGTTCTTCGAAACAGATGTTTCTAATACCGAGTCTATTGCTACAGCTGTCAATGGGTCGGTAGCTTGGGCAAAAGAGACCGGAAAGGAGATTGGCGGTGTTGTAGCAGGTGCTGGCGTTGGCCTGCCTGGTCTGATCGTCGACCGGAAGAACGAGCCGCTGAGCATCGAGAGCATCGACTTTGTGCTGAATATCAACTTGCGAGGAACCTTGGACCTGATCAGACAAACTGTTCCGCACATGACCAAGGCCTCGCCCACAGAGCCTGGTGGTTCGCGCGGCGTAATAATAATGATCGCATCCTCCGCGGCCTTTGATGGACAAATGGGACAGGTAGCATATGCAGCTTCCAAGGGCGCAGTGGCTAGCCTGACGCTTCCTCTTGCTCGCGATCTGTCAAAACATGGTATCCGCGCGGTCACAATTGCGCCGAGCATGTTCGATAGTGCCATGACAAAAATGATGAGCGACAAGGTGAAGAAGAGTTTGGAGAACAGCATGGAGTTTCCGAAACGGGCGGGTTTGCCAGAAGAGTTTGCCAGGCTAGTAGTGGAGAGTATAGGGAATGAGATGTTGAACGGCACAGTGTTGAGGTTGGATGGAGCGATGAGGATGCCCGCGAGGTTGTAACAATGTGTATCCTGTAATAGATGTCCAAAAATCTTAACGCTTGCGCTCCCTGATCTTGAACTTGACGCCGTGCTTGTTGACTCCTCCCACAGTGTTGTTCATTTTGGCACGTTGAAGATCAAGCTCTGCTTCAGCAGCCGTAAGCTCGCGCTCACGCTTCTTGACGCTTTCCAGTTTGATCGCCGTTCTTGATTGTGCTCGCTCTCGATCCTTTTTGAACTTTCTCTCCTCTTTCCTTGCCGCTTCCTGCGCTTCAAGAGCCTTCTTCGATAGTGTCTTTAATTGAGGTTGGGGCGCTTCGTCTTCCTCTTCGGAGAGATCCTCCTGTGAATCTTCCACCTGCTCTGAACCCGCGCGACCAGGCATTTCTTTTCCTTGTCCGAACCAAGCCTCTGGATCGAAGTCCTGTTGCTCGTCCTCATTCTCCACAAAGACCCTGTGCTTGCCATTCTTCGCCCCATCACCATCTCTTAAGGCACGAACTCGACCTTTCGTCTCGAGTATGAGTCTCTCCTCCAATTCTTCCCTCTCCTTCCGCGCCATCTGCAGCATTGTCCGGATGTACCCAGCATCTTGTGTCTTGAGCAGCTTCACCACCTCTGCGCTCAACGCCTTATTCCCACGATCTGCCACCTTTTTACCTCGAGCATCGACCTTTGAGCTCATCATCTTGAACGAGAACTCATCGGGATTTCGGTCGCGTGCTTTCTGAGACAGAAGCTTGAGTTTCGTCTTCTTCTCGCGGTGGTCGGCTGCACGAAGCTTGTAATCTTTGCGCTTTTCGAGGAGACCCCATTTTTGACGTTCGAGGGGTTGCGCGCGTTCTTTGTGGTTGCGCCGCTGTACGGCATTTCGCATGGACGACATTGTGAGGGTTGTGTGGATTTGTTGGTGTTGAAGTTCGAGTTCAAGAGCGCTGGAAATTTTGGGCAGGGGTCTATGCGCCAAGATTTCGAGGTGCTCGAAACAGTCTAACCGCATATGTCGAGCTGAGTGGTTTTGTGGTTCCAGGTGAATATCAATCAACTGGTGCCATCTAAACTAGGTGGTATATATTTAATATAGTGGAAGGATATTTGATTAGCAATCTTCAGGGGGTTTCTATGTTTTCCTTGCAATCTTTCAAGATTGTCTGGGTCATTGTTCAGGTCTGCGTGCAGTCGTTGTGATGAATAGCTTCTCTGAAACCCCTAACGTAAAGGCTTAAGCAGTAAATATTTGGCATGTTGAAAGCTTTTGCTTCAACGTGTCATCATTTATCAAAGTCTGCAATATCTGTGTCGGTCTGTGTTCATGCTGTCCCCGGAAGTCAAGCATCTAGCCCCGCTCCTCAACGCTAGCAGCGCACTAGCGAACACAGCGTTACCCCACCGTACGCAAATTCTCAGCTCATCCATAAGCACTAATAATTCAGTAGTTATGCAGACTTTCTTTTATCTTGGATGTATAGATAATGTTTAATTCCAAAATCTGTCATCAAAGCTTCCAAGCGCATCCATTGGGTGCAACACTCCGCTTGGTGTAGTTGGTTGTAAGTTTAGCCCAGTCATCTGACTGATTGATACATGACTCTAATATCGTCTCAGTATCACGTTCGGCTGTAATATACATTGTTACCGAAAGGTCCCTAGTTCGATTCTGGGAGCGGAGATCATTCTTTTTTGCCTTTTTTTTGCCTCTTTTTCGCATTCTCTCAACAGCGACGCTCCCCACGAGCAATATTGCAGGGAGTGGACCGTTCTGCATTTCCTTTTTTTTTTAACAAGGATACTGTATTTTATTGTGATAGCTTTGAATTCCAGTGAGGCTTCAATCAACTGCCGTGAATGATCTGCATCCTGAGGGCTGAGGCCATCACCCTATCGAATCGATACTATTTGCAGCTTAGGGGCTAACAATTATCTATCTCATTCTCCCACAGGATATGTGAGAACCTTTACTGATTTACGCATTAGGAGTCATGATGCGAGATAACTTAATTTGTTCATGTTGGAAAGGGGCCAAATGTTCTGCATATATCACTTTGTTCCTCTTAGACGCATGGAAATTGCGGTTAAAGGCTACTGCAGCGTTTCCGGTAGCGAAACAGCCAGGATATTGTGAACGGTTTGATCGAAGTTCGCAAAGCAAAGATTGATGTTCGTTGTTCAGGTTGGAGACGTTTGTATACATGCTGAGAACGTGCAAAATCTAGGACTTCCTCACACGACTGCCAATCGAATGAGCAAGATCGAAGGCTTCACATGTCGATACCTCAAGCCCCATCTACAAATACACCCAATCCCCCCTTAAGATACCTTTTTGCTTATATGCCAAGTCCCCATTACCTAGCAAGACACGGAGTGTGCAGTTGGTGATTTCCGCCATCCTGGAGAGTTGTACAAACTCAGGGGCGTCATTATGGTTGTGCTTCATACGCTTGGGATGACCTTGAATTCCCAAACTTGGTAGCGTATCTTTTGAGCCTCTCTTTCACCACATTCTTTTGGATTTCGAGTCCTCTGTTGATCTCCAAAGATCACAAAAAATTACAAGCAAATAAAACTATGTCTTTGCTCATAAAGATTTTCATCATACCTGCATTCTTTGCAACCACGACACTCGGAATATCACCCTGTTTTTTACCAAATGGAACAAGCCTACCAGACACTCCAAGATTTGGAGAATTTGGATTTTGTGAGACAGGTTTCAACATCTGTTGTTCAACAAGGATTCCAATTGAGATGAACCGCAACCCAGACCTTCGTAGCCAGTGGATTGCGGATAAATGTCTCCCAAACGGTGTGTGCCAAAACAGTAGAGTAGTAGCAGGCGTTGAGGAACTTGAGTAAACTTACAAGATAGTAGTCCTCCACATGAAGAAAGACTAACTCAGATCACTAGGTGGCGGGTAAGCTTCTGCGGTGATCCCACCCAAATTATCAACCTTGAGCTTGAATGTCTGAATGTCTGTGACCCAATAACAAATGGGAGCAACACGCGCATGACTCCCTGTACCGGGAAAGCAGATAGCGAGCGGTGGTGCTGCGGCGAGTCCAACTCGTGCTGTTCAACCAATGTTGGAGTCGTCCGCCTGGCACAAGTCTTGGGTAGCAGTATACCTTCTGGAAATGACAACGACGAAACAGAAGGACCGGCCCAAACACTAATAGCGCCCGCTATCCCTGAAAGGCCAATGACGTCGATGACAATACCGACGACGAATTCGACCACAATTCACACAAGCACACCTTCCCCCACGACGCCAGATCCAACCCCACGAAATAGCAATAAGCCCACACTATCTGTTGGAACGGTTGTTGGGATCGTAATCGGGGTGATTACCGGATCTGTATTGCTTTTTGCATCGATATTTTTCTGCCAAAGAGCAGCAGCGTACAAAAAGCTCGCAATCATGTCCGCCCAAGCCGAAAAGTTGGATCCGCTATATCCCCCACCGTACACTCCTCCAGTGGAACTTTACACTCCTCCTGCTGAACTTCCTGGGGCGATTCTTCCAGAGCTTCCTGGGAGAGAGTCGTTTCCACCACGGCTTCATATTCGGATCTGACGGGAAAGTTTTAGTGTTGTTTTCCAAGATCTAGCAGTGCTAGGAGGTCTGTTGCTTTGGTATATGCTGGTGTATTGTGTCTTTCACTGTATGAATGGAAGAGTAAGCTTTACTGGGATGACACTACGTATCGTGGCGCTGGTATCTATTGGGAGTGTACAATAAGACGTAAGATCTTGTCTACCACATAACAGATAGACAGTTGAAAACGCCAGTATTGGTCTGTCACATGCAACACTACAGAAAGCCTGCACGTGGCATTATCAGGAGAAGTCGTATTCGTCATTATAGCATAACCAGTCAAACTCGTATGTTGTCCAACGCTCTATCTCTCAAGCTCACTACAACAAAACAAATGAACATCAGACACGAGACGATTGCGACCCACTCTCGACATCAATCTCATTTTGACTCTGACCATGCTTCTCCTTCTCGGCCTTGACACTGCCCTCCCCCTCCCACAGTGTCTCACCTCCCGTACCCGGCCGGTTCAGCTCCCTCGCCTCGGCCGCCCTCGTCCTCAACCGCGGATGCTTGGGGTCGCGCAGATCCAGTGTCGCCAGCTGGCCGTCCTCAGCCAGGAGAGGGATCTCCTCGTCGCAGCCTGTCCACGGCCCATACCCTAGTTGCTCGTGCGCGAGCCGCTGCAGCTGTAACGTCCCGTTGACGCACCACTCGATGCGCTTGTACTGGTGCCAGTCGCGGCCGCGCCAGAGCACGCGTACGTACACGCATTCGAGGATTGTTTCGATGAGCAGGATTAGCGTGCCCACGGTTAGTATAATGGCGAGGCCTAGCACGGAGAAGTTTGCATGGGTAGTGCTACGGACTTTCTAAAGATGGCGTCAGTGGTGCGAAGTGCAAGAAGGGTCTCGGCGTACCTACGATATTACGTGCAACAAGCTTTTGTTGTTCGTTTGGGGCTTCAGGAGAAGCATAGTAGGAGATGAGGCGTGGATCGGACGGGCCAGTGGCATATTCCACTATAGCTGATTGGAGGCCAGAGAGGACGACTGCCGACATGTGTTCGACTTCGAGCTGCCACTGATTGTCTGGAAGTTTCGTCTGCTGTCCGTGCTGGAGGCTGTTCTTAGCTTGGAGGATGTATCCTCCCATCATCGAGACGGGCAGGTAAATGCTCGTATCTAAGAGCATGTAGCTCGCAAAGATGGCTGACATGTTGCGTTGCGCCGATGTCAAGTTGCTGGGATAGTCCATATAGGCTTCGTCGCCAGTAATGTCGACAACGCCTTGTGGAAGAGAGCACTTGGATGTGTCTGAAAACGGCTGATGGCATATCTGGACACTGGTAGCGCAAGCTAATGGGGCGGCCGCTTCGTCCGCTTTAGCAAGGAAATAGGAATCATTTCGCCCGTTCGCTACGACCTCAACATATCGCTCGTGCGCCGAGAACCAGGGATCATCTACTTCGGCCCGGTACATCAAATTCTTTGACGTCAAAAAGAGTAGAACAACATCTGAGTCATTTCGCAGAAGACCTTCGTTTGGTGCCCAAGCTATAGAGTTTTGTACAGTTGCCCTCAAAGAGGGTGCTCCAACTACCCTAAGACCTCTGCGTTAGCACCAAAAGCTTGAGGTATTTTCTTATTGTCTTACTTCAAGTTGTACTGTCCGGGCATCGGACCAAGAGGCATCAATGGATCGAGAAGGTTTCGCGTCTCTATCGGTTCAATGTGTGTATGATTAACCGGGAGGTCGTCGTATCCAGAAGGAGGAAGAACCGGGCCATAGTGATAGAGAGAATAAGGCAAAGAGAAATTGCCGACAGAAATATTTCGCTTCTCAGCAAATCCTTCAGTGGCGAGAGGGGCACAATGGAGCACCTGTCGAAGGCGAATACGATCTGCCGAGGGCGTGTTGAACCCTAGATCGTCATTGCTATCAAGGAATCCAGTATCAATCCTGATGTTCCCAAGCTCTGATTTACAGAGACCGTTGGAGAAAGGACATGGCGCGTTTCGGTCGATTTCGCGATGGAGCTGTTTTTTCACAAATTTTTGGCATATGGCGGAGTCTTGAGGGGAGATAGAATCATAACACTCTTCCGCATACCGGGCACGCTCTCTCCACCCGTTGGATAAGTATGGCATCAGAAACATTCTTAGATCAGATTTAGTGTAGTTAGCAGGACCCGGATCCATCGAAGTGCTTCTCAGTAGTACCTCATCCCCAGTTAGACCGGTGATGCGTGAAGAAAAGATACCAGCCACTGCGAACACAGCAATGACTATACTGGTGTGCGCGAGAAGGGGTGCAAGCCTCCGGATGATACGTTGTTTTCGTGGCCGCTGTGCCAGGTACGACCAGATCATGCTCGATAGTGATAAGAATGCCTGTGTTCCGCTTGCGGAATTACGCAAGATAGCTTGCCGCTGGTGGTAAACGGCATCCCGGGCCTTTTCCGTCGATAGGTTGTGATGGATTATAAAACACGTAATTCTGAAGAAACTGGTTCCAGCAAAAGAAACGAACAGAGCGAGGAAAGCGACGAGGAAGCTGCCGTTGGTCTGCGTGAGTGTCAAAGTCGAGCCAACTACTTTTCCTAAGATAAAACCACACGATTAGCAGATTAATCATGGAATTCATTTGCTGGGGCATATCCAAGAAAAGAGCAACACTTGAAGTTGGAATACACATTAAAACATTTACATACCATGAGACCAATTTGTCCATGTTCCCGTATGGACCTTCCCGTCTAGTGTCCCAAGGTTGCTCATGATGGCTCGTATGTTGAGAAAAGTGGATCTTGAGTGGACTTCTTCTCAAAGTGGGAAGCAGCACTGCTTTTCACAAGAACAGTCATTATATCCCTATGCTCATGTCCTTGGCGGGGGCTCAATGTGGACCAACCAACAGGCTAATTGTACAAACAGGCGTATGGGGGGCTGTGGCGAGATCCCATAGACTGGTTGCTAGCTTTCTCCATGGTTATTAAGTGTCAGCCTTTTGTAATGAAGGGTACCAGACAGCTGAAAGCCGAGCTACAGAATGGCATCTCCCAATCATGTTCGATGGAGATGTGAACCTTCATTCGGGGGCCAAAACACTGCTGAAATGGACGTCACTTAGTACAATGTGCA